TTTGTACCTGTGATCCTCAGTCTTTGTTTGTACCTGTGATCCTCAGTCTTTGTTTGTACTTGTGATCCTCAGTCTTTGTTTGTACCTGTGATCCTCAGTCTTTGTTTGTACCTGTGATCCTCAGTCTTTGTTTGTACCTGTGATCCTCAGTCTTTGTTTGTACCTGTGATCCTCAGTCTTTGTTTGTACCTGTGATCCTCAGTCTTTGTTTGTACCTGTGATCCTCAGTCTTTGTTTGTACCTGTGATCATCAGTCTTTGTTTGTACCTGTGATCCTCAGTCTTTGTTTGTACCTGTGATCATCAGTCTTTGTTTGTACCTGTGATCCTCAGTCTTTGTTTGTACCTGTGATCCTCAGTCTTTGTTTGTACCTGTGATCCTCAGTCTTTGTTTGTACCTGTGATCATCAGTCTTTGTTTGTACCTGTGATCCTCAGTCTTTGTTTGTACCTGTGATCATCAGTCTTTGTTTGTACCTGTGATCCTCAGTCTTTGTTTGTACCTGTGATCCTCAGTCTTTGTTTGTACCTGTGATCCTCAGTCTTTGTTTGTACCTGTGATCCTCAGTCTTTGTTTGAACCTGTGACTGTGATCCTTAGTCTTTGTACCTGTGATCCTAAGTCTTTGTTTGAACCTCAGGGTCCCTGTTCTGAGGCTCCTGTCCCTGTGCTCTCTGAGGTCCCTGGTCCCTATGCTCTCTGAGGTCCCTGGTCCCTATGCTCTCTGAGGTTCCTGGTCCCTATGCTCTCTGAGGCCCTGGTCCCTATGCTCTCTGAGGTCCCTGGTCCCTATGCTCTCTGAGGTCCCTGGTCCCTATGCTCTCTGAGGCCCTGGTCCCTATGCTCTCTGAGGCCCTGGTCCCTATGCTCTCTGAGGTCCCTGGTCCCTATGCTCTCTGAGGCCCTGGTCCCTATGCTCTCTGAGGCCCTGGTCCCTATGCTCTCTGAGGTCCCTGGTCCCTATGCTCTCTGAGGCCCTGGTCCCTATGCTCTCTGAGGCCCTGGTCCCTATGCTCTCTGAGGCCCTGGTCCCTATGCTCTCTGAGGTCCCTGGTCCCTATGCTCTCTGAGGTCCCTGGTCCCTATGCTCTCTGAGGCCCTGGTCCCTATGCTCTCTGAGGTCCCTGGTCCCTATGCTCTCTGAGGCCCTGGTCCCTATGCTCTCTGAGGCCCTGGTCCCTATGCTCTCTGAGGCCCTGGTCCCTATGCTCTCTGAGGTCCCTGGTCCCTATGCTCTCTGAGGTCCCTGGTCCCTATGCTCTCTGTGGCCCTGGTCCTTAGGCCCTGGTCCCTATGCTCTCTGAGGTCCCTGGTCCCTATGCTCTCTGAGGCCCTGGTCCCTGTGCTGAGGCCCCGGCTGCAGATGAAGCGATGAGGGACAGGGCTGGGCTTGAACTGTAGAGTTTGATGGTTGATCGCCACAAGAATGTCAACATGGCCCAGCAGCCAATCAGAGCACGGCGTGTTCCAAAACACGGGCGCAGGTCCCTGTGTTCCTGTCCCTGTGTTCGTGCGGCGCTTATGCAACTCTCTGTTTTCATGCGCCGCAAATATAGACACAAAACAATGGGACGAAGAGACGCTGACAAGTTTGTTCTGCTCGCACTGATACCGGGACCACCTCCGAGACTGTGTTCGTTTCGCAGTCTGACACCAAAAGGTTCAATTCTGTTCATGGTGTTTGAGTGACCCTCACCTGGTTCACCACACACATAGTTACAGATGCTAAAGTCAAACTAGTACCTACTGCTCACCATCCTGGACCTAAATAATAATGTGTTTTATACCTATTCATTCTCTCCAAACTACTCCTGTAGCCACAGCTGCCCTGGGGCACACTGACCAGTCTGTGCCATCGGCCCCTCCCACCACCACCAACCATTCACACACACACCAGACTCATTCTAATGTGGGGGAAGTGTCTTGCCTAAGGACACAACCACAGTTTGGCACTTTACAGCCGCAGCCGCCCCACTGTGGCACCTGCTGTTCAGAGGTCTCCCATCACAGCACTAACCAGGCCCTGCCCTGCTTAACTTCAGAGGTCTGAGGGATCTGGCTTCCTGCAGGTTTGTACGGCACACAGTGACCCCAAGTATCAGTGTTAAACACACAAACACAACATCAAAATGGAGGGCATTCACCGGCCAATCAGAGCGCACGGTGAGCCTTAAGCCCCGCCCCCTCAGGGCTCTGACCTGTCTGTGCTGCGAGGACGAGAACCGGTTTGGAGCAGACTCTGTACGGTATGTTCTTATCTGGAACAACACGGAGGTTTGTGTATGGGGCAGGTATGCAGCTCTGAGGCCCCGGGGCCCGGCTGTATGTAGCTCTGAGGCCCCGAGGCCCGGCTGTATGCAGCTCTGAGGCCCCGAGGCCCGGCTGTATGCAGCTCTGAGGCCCCGAGGCCCGGCTGTATGCAGCTCTGAGGCCCCGGGGCCCGGCTGTATGCAGCTCTGATGCCCCGGGGTCCGGCTGTATGTAGCTCTGAGGCCCCGAGGCCCGGCTGTATGCAGCTCTGAGGCCCCGAGGCCCGGCTGTATGCAGCTCTGAGGCCTCGGGGCCCGGCTGTATGCAGCTCTGAGGCCCCGGGCCCGTCTGTATGCAGCTCTGAGGCCCTGGGGCCCGGCTGTATGCAGCTCTGAGGCCCAGCTGTATGTAGCTCTGAGGCCCCGAGGCCCGGCTGTATGTAGCTCTGAGGCCCGGCTGTATGTAGCTCTGAGGCCCCGAGGCCCGGCTGTATGTATCTCTGAGGCCCAGGCTGTATGTATCTCTGAGGCCCCGGCTGTATGTAGCTCTGAGGCCCAGGCTGTATGTAGCTCTGAGGCCCAGGCTGTATGTATCTCTGAGGCCCCGGCTGTATGTAGCTCTGAGGCCCAGGCTGTATGTAGCTCTGAGGCCCAGGCTGTATGTTGCTCTGAGGCCCAGGCTGTATGTAGCTCTGAGGCCCCGGGGCCCGGCTGTACGCAGCACTTTACAAAACTGTCGATTCTCCAACACAGATCAGAAAATCAAACAGTAGATGCAGTGAAAACAAACACAGACATAAGTCCGATCGTTAAACACGAAGAGAAAGTCTCTAGTTCCTGATTTTTAAATCTCTGGAGAATGTTTTCTTTGGAGCCACAGGTTTTGGCTCCGTTCCCACCCTCGCCTGTGTTTGTTCAGTGTGTCCTGAGGTTCCTGAGGTCCCTGAGGTCCCCAAAGCATAGGTGCATGTCTGAGCTGCACTGGAGGAAACCTCTGAACATGGGTTAAATGTTCATGGTTGGACACACGTTCACTAAATTTCAGCCGCATGACTTTAGTAAATCTAACGTTCTGCTGCGATGCCACAGAACGCAGTGGAAGTGGGCGGAGCTTTGAGGCTAACAGGGCTAAGCTAGCAGCTTTTCATGTAAGGTTTTCCTCCACGAGCTGCAGCGTCTCCGTCTGAGATCCTCCAGAGTCAAAGAAACAATGTGCATGTCCTGCGCTCGATGCATGTGTCAGGCGCCGCAACACAACACTACAATACATGTTGATAAATGTCATACATGTGATAAATGTCACACATGTGATAAATGTCACACATATGAGAAATGTCACACATGTGATAAATGTCACACATGTGATAAATGTCACACGTGATAAATGTCATACATGTGATAAATGTCATACGTGATAAATGTCATACGTGATAAATGTCACACATGTGATAAATGTCACACATGTTGATAAATGTCATACATGTGATAAATGTCACACATGTGATAAATGTCACACATATGAGAAATGTCACACATGTGATAAATGTCACACATGTGATAAATGTCACACATGTGATAAATGTCATACATGTGATAAATGTCATACGTGATAAATGTCATACGTGATAAATGTCACACATGTGATAAATGTCATACATGTGATAAATGTCACACATGTGATAAATGTCACACATGTGATAAATGTCATACATGTGATAAATGTCATACGTGATAAATGTCACACATGTGATAAATGTCACACATGTTGATAAATGTCATACATGTGATAAATGTCACACATGTGATAAATGTCACACATGTGATAAATGTCACACATGTGATAAATGTCATACATGTGATAAATGTCATACGTGATAAATGTCATACGTGATAAATGTCATACATGTGATAAATGTCACACATGTGATAAATGTCACACATATGAGAAATGTCACACATGTGATAAATGTCACACATGTGATAAATGTCACACATATGAGAAATGTCACACATGTGATAAATGTCACACATGTTGATAAATGTCACACATGTGATAAATGTCACACATGTGATAAATGGCACACATGTGATAAATGTTATACATGGGATAAATGTCATACATGTGATAAATGTCATACATGTGATAAATGTCATACATGTGATAAATGTCACACATGTGATAAATGTCACACATGTTAATAAATGTCACACATGTGATAAATGTCACACATGTTAATAAATGTCACACATGTGATAAATGTCACACATGTGATAAATGTCATACATGTTGATAAATGTCATACATGTTGATAAATGTCATACATGTTGATACTGTAAATGTCATACATGTGATAAATGTCATACATGTGATAAATGTCATACATGTGATAAATGTCACACATGTGATAAATGTCATACATGTGATAAATGTCACACATGTGATAAATGTCACACATGTGATAAATGTCATACATGTGATAAATGTCACACATGTGATAAATGTCATACATGTGATAAATGTCATACATGTGAAATAAATGTCACACATGTGATAAATGTCATAGTCCTGGGTCTAAAGCCTCAGTCCTGGGTGATATAAGTCCTGTGATAAATGCCTCAAGTCCCGGGTCTACAGCCTCAGTTCCGGGTCTACAGCCTCAGTCCTGGGTCTACAGCCTCAGTCCTGGGTCTACAGCCTCAGTCCTGGGTCTACAGCCTCAGTCCTGGGTCTACAGCCTCAGTCCCGGGTCTACAGCCTCAGTTCCGGGTCTACAGCCTCAGTCCCGGGTCCTGGGTCTACAGCCTCAGTCCTGGATCTACAGCCTCAGTCCTGGGTCTACAGCCTCAGTCCTGGGTCTACAGCCTCAGTCCTGGATCTACAGCCTCAGTCCTGGATCTACAGCCTCAGTCCTGGATCTACAGCCTCAGTCCTGGGTCTACAGCCTCAGTCCTGGGTCTACAGCCTCAGTCCTGGATCTACAGCCTCAGTCCTGGGTCTACAGCCTCAGTCCTGGGTCTACAGCCTCAGTCCTGGATCTACAGCCTCAGTCCTGGGTCTACAGCCTCAGTCCCGGGTCTACAGCCTCAGTCCCGGGTCTATACAGCTTGCTTTAGACCTGCTTTAGACTTGCTTTAGACCTGGTTCAGTCCTGTGTGTGGTCCCTGAACCTGCACTATCTCGATGCTATTATTTATAATCTAAATACTGCCCCCAAGTGGCGACTGGAGGTATTTCCGGTATAAAAACTCAAATGTAACGTCTCGGTCCATCTTAGATCTATTGACTTTACATGAACTGTTGTTTAAAACTGCATTTTTAATACGGTTTTATTATGTTGAACTTTGAAGTGGAAACAGTTCATGCTTAGAGTAAACTCTGCGGGATCAGAACCGAAGAACATTCATTCAGTGTGTCTTGCACTAAAACACAGCTGTCTCTCTGAGGACTTTACAAAGTTGTAGATTCACCAACAACAGATCAGAAAATCAAACAGTTAGAACACGGGAAATGCAACAATAACAAACACAGAGACATTGGTCCAAAGGGAGCGGGATGAACACTGTCTGATGTTATTAAATGTTATTAAATGTCCCGAGTCCGTCCTGCATCAGAAACACTCAGAACCCACAAGTGAGAAACCTTGAGCATTGAGATTGACTTCCACCCTTTTCAGAAATGTAGCGTTGTCATATTTATTCATATTTGTATAGAATCAGTTTCTATGTTTGGAATAATCCTTTTTATAACAGTTTAATAAATGACACAGGTCTCTATGATCCGTGAACTGTTTTTTCAAAAACATACAATTCAGTTAAAAATAGTTCTTTAACCATCAGAGAGTCAGGTTCAGATGTGTTTCATCTAAAAGCAGCAGAAGGACTAATTATGAATCTGTGTTTATTAAGGTAATCCTGTGTTCTTTTGTTTATGTTTTTATAAAGTCATGTTGTTCTTCTGTCAATAATACAGTTTCCTGGTTCTATGAGATCCCATATGTGCCCCTTTCTCTGCACTCACACGTCATAAATGCAAACACAGATGCTTTGATATAATTGTGTGAAGTAGTGTTTTACAGGTGTCCACTAGAGGGAGACATGACACCTCTGGCCCGCTCTGGCCTCTCTTAGCCTGGGTCCAGGACAGTCCAGGAGCGAGGCCCGTTTCAAGCCCCAATAAATATAAATGCTTCATGTTTACAGTCTGTGATAAATAATGGGGGGTGTTGTCTGTTACTCATGTGCAGTTATATCATTCTCTGTTCTGCATGTTGATTCATTGTATTGTTTTCTACGTTTTATTGTGTGTTGAATGGGTGAGGGTGGGGGGTGGGAGAGAGGAGTTTAGGAAAAATAAGCGTCTGCTTCATCCAACCCCTTTTCAACCCTGTTTTAGTGTAAAGATAATGTGGAATGGTGTGGCTGAGGATCCCTTCAGTGACTGGAGCTGTCCATGGTCCCACCACTACAGAGAAGCACCACCAGGGGGCGCCCTGAGGCCGAGGTGAGGATGAGGAGCCCTGAGGATGAGGAGGCTGAGGCTGAGGCTGAGGTGAGGATGAAGAGGCTGAGGTGAGGGTGAAGAGGCTGAGGCTGAGGTGAGGGTGAAGAGGCTGAGGATGAGGAGCCCTGAGGCTGAGGTGAGGATGAGGATGAGGAGGCAGTGGAAAGATGCAGTCACGTGCTGAGGACACGTGCTGTTGTTGTTTACTACAGTGTTCTACAGACCAAAGAAAACATCAGTAAGAATCAAAACCTTCTCTGTTCAGACTGTATCAGACTGAAACAGCAGCTCAGGATTCTGTAATCTCACACACACGCACGCGCACGCATACATATACCCGCGCGCACGCACAGACACACACACACACACACACACACACACACACACACACACACACACATTTATTTATTGATGTTATATAAACTCACAGTTGTAATACGTGATTCTTTGTATAAAAGATATTTTGAACATAATCTCCTGAAGACGCTGCAGTGACGTCATCACGCCGCCTCTCTCCGTTCCGTGAGAACAGTGACGTCACATCACCTGCTCCTGAATCCTCCGTATCCTCCGTATCCTCCTCCGTCTGCCCCCGCCATGGGCAACTGTCTGACCGTGGGGCCCAACGAGGCGCTGGTAGTGTCCGGTAGGTGGGCTCCTGTCCGGTAGCTTGGTCCGGTAGCTTGGTCCGGTTAGCTTTCACGGTAACGGTCACGGTGACGGTGGAGCTCGCGCTGTACGGAGGATGTGGAACACACTTCCAGCACCGAGACCGTGTTCAGACCGGGTCCAGACCGTGTTCAGACCAGGTTCAGACCAGGTTCAGACCAGGTTCAGACCAGGTTCAGACCAGGTTCAGACCAGGTTCAGACCGGGTCCAGACCGGGTCCAGACCGTGTTCAGACCGGGTTCAGACCGGGTCCAGACCGGGTTCAGACCGGGTCCAGACCGTGTTCAGACCGGGTTCAGACCGGGTCCAGACCGGGTTCAGACCGGGTTCAGACCGGGTCCAGACCGGGTTCAGACCGGGTCCAGACCGTGTTCAGACCGTGTTCAGACCGGGTCCAGACCGGGTCCAGACCGTGTTCAGACCGGGTTCAGACCGGGTCCAGACCGGGTTCAGACCGGGTTCAGACCGGGTCCAGACCGGGTTCAGACCGGGTCCAGACCGTGTTCAGACCGGGTCCAGACCGGGTCCAGACCGTGTTCAGACCGGGTTCAGACCGTGTTCAGACCGGGTTCAGACCGGGTCCAGACCGGGTTCAGACCGGGTTCAGACCGGGTCCAGACCGGGTTCAGACCGGGTCCAGACCGTGTTCAGACCGTGTTCAGACCGGGTCCAGACCGGGTCCAGACCGTGTTCAGACCGGGTTCAGACCGGGTCCAGACCGGGTTCAGACCGGGTTCAGACCGGGTCCAGACCGGGTTCAGACCGGGTCCAGACCGTGTTCAGACCGGGTCCAGACCGGGTCCAGACCGTGTTCAGACCGGGTTCAGACCGGGTCCAGACCGGGTTCAGACCGGGTCCAGACCGTGTTCAGACCGGGTTCAGACCGGGTCCAGACCGGGTTCAGACCGGGTTCAGACCGGGTCCAGACCGGGTTCAGACCGGGTCCAGACCGTGTTCAGACCGTGTTCAGACCGGGTCCAGACCGGGTCCAGACCGTGTTCAGACCGGGTTCAGACCGGGTCCAGACCGGGTTCAGACCGGGTTCAGACCGGGTCCAGACCGGGTTCAGACCGGGTCCAGACCGTGTTCAGACCGGGTCCAGACCGGGTCCAGACCGTGTTCAGACCGGGTTCAGACCGGGTCCAGACCGGGTTCAGACCGGGTCCAGACCGTGTTCAGACCAGGTTCAGACCGGGTCCAGACCGTGTTCAGACCGGGTCCAGACCGGGTTCAGACCGGGTTCAGACCGTGTTCAGACCGGGTCCAGACCGTGTTCAGACCGGGTCCAGACCGGGTTCAGACCGGGTCCAGACCGGGTTCAGACCGGGTCCAGACCGTGTTCAGACCGGGTCCAGACCGGGTTCAGACCGGGTTCAGACCGGGTCCAGACCGTGTTCAGACCGGGTTCAGACCGGGTCCAGACCGTGTTCAGACCGGGTCCAGACCGGGTTCAGACCGGGTCCAGACCGTGTTCAGACCGGGTCCAGACCGGGTTCAGACCGGGTTCAGACCGTGTTCAGACCGGATCCAGACCGTGTTCAGACCGGGTCCAGACCGTGTTCAGACCGGGTCCAGACCGGGTTCAGACCGGGTTCAGACCGTGTTCAGACCGGGTCCAGACCGTGTTCAGACCGGGTCCAGACCGTGTTCAGACCGGGTCCAGACCGTGTTCAGACCGGGTCCAGACCGGGTTCAGACCGGGTTCAGACCGTGTTCAGACCGGGTCCAGACCGTGTTCAGACCGGGTCCAGACCGGGTTCAGACCGGGTTCAGACCGGGTCCAGACCGTGTTCAGACCGTGTTCAGACCGGGTTCAGACCGGGTCCAGACCGTGTTCAGACCGTGTTCAGACCAGGTTCAGACCGTGTTCAGACCGGGTTCAGACCGTGTTCAGACCGGGTTCAGACCGGGTTCAGACCGTGTTCAGACCGGGTTCAGACCGGGTCCAGACCGTGTTCAGACCGTGTTCAGACCAGGTTCAGACCGTGTTCAGACCGGGTTCAGACCGTGTTCAGACCAGGTTCAGACCGGGTCCAGACCAGGTTCAGACCGTGTTCAGACCGGGTCCAGACCGGGTTCAGACCGGGTCCAGACCGGGTTCAGACCGGGTTCAGACCGTGTTCAGACCGTGTTCAGACCGGGTCCAGACCGGGTCCAGACCGGGTTCAGACCGGGTTCAGACCAGGTTCAGACCGTGTTCAGACCGGGTCCAGACCGGGTTCAGACCGGGTCCAGACCGGGTTCAGACCGTGTTCAGACCGTGTTCAGACCGGGTCCAGACCGGGTTCAGACCGGGTTCAGACCGTGTTCAGACCGGGTCCAGACCGGGTCCAGACCGGGTCCAGACCGGGTTCAGACCGGGTCCAGACCGGGTCCAGACCGGGTCCAGACCGGGTCCAGACCGGGTCCAGACCGGGTTCAGACCGGGTTCAGACCAGGTTCAGACCGTGTTCAGACCGGGTCCAGACCGGGTTCAGACCGGGTCCAGACCGGGTTCAGACCGGGTTCAGACCGTGTTCAGACCGTGTTCAGACCGGGTCCAGACCGGGTTCAGACCGGGTTCAGACCGTGTTCAGACCGGGTCCAGACCGGGTCCAGACCGGGTTCAGACCGGGTTCAGACCGGGTTCAGACCGGGTTCAGACCGGGTTCAGACCGGGCTCAGGTCATGGCTGTATCATGTGTATCCAGTGTTGAAGACGCTTCTGTCTTTATTAGATCCATGAGACACATTCAGATGTAACACACCGAGTCCCAGGACTGACCCAGGACTGACCCAGGACTGACCCGGGGCTGACCCGGGACTGACCCGGGGCTGACTCGGGACTGACCCGGGACTGACCCGGGACTGACCCGGGACTGACCCGGGGCTGACCCAGGACTGACCCGGGGCTGACCCAGGACTGACTCAGGACTGACCCGGGGCTGACCCAGGACTGACCCGGGACTGACCCGGGACTGACCCGGGGCTGACCCAGGACTGACCCGGGGCTGACCCAGGACTGACCCGGGGCTGACCCGGGGCTGACTCAGGACTGACCCGGGGCTGACCCAGGACTGACCCGGGGGTGACCCGGGACCGACTCAGTGATGTGAGACTGGTGTAATGTATTTATGTTGTAACGATCCATCATCACAGACTTCTGTTCCTCTTTCACGTCGTCACGTGACTTTAGAGGCGCGCGGCTCACGACCGTTACTGTTGACCATAGACTGTGACCTCTGACCTCTGACCGTTAGTGTTGACCATAGACTGTGACCTCTGACCTCTGACCGTTAGTGTTGACCATAGACTGTGACCTCTGACCGTTACTGTTGACCATAGACTGACCTCTGACTTCTGACCGTTAGTGTTGACCATAGACTGTGACCTCTGACCGTTGGTGTTGACCATAGACTGTGACCTCTGACCGTTAGTGTTGACCTCTGTGACCTCTGACCGTTAGTGTTGACCATAGACTCTGACCTCTGACCGTTAGTGTTGACCATAGAGTGTGTGTGACCTCTGACCGTTAGTGTTGACCATAGACTCTGACCTCTGACCGTTAGTGTTGACCATAGACTGTGTGACCTCTGACCGTTAGTGTTGACCATAGAGTGTGTGACCTCTGACCGTTAGTGTTGACCATAGACTCTGACCTCTGACCGTTAGTGTTGACCATAGAGTGTGTGACCTCTGACCGTTAGTGTTGACCATAGACTCTGACCTCTGACCGTTAGTGTTGACCATAGAGTGTGTGACCTCTGACCGTTAGTGTTGACCATAGACTCTGACCTCTGACCGTTAGTGTTGACCATAGACTGTGTGACCTCTGACCGTTAGTGTTGACCATAGAGTGTGTGACCTCTGACCGTTAGTGTTGACCATAGACTCTGACCTCTGACCGTTAGTGTTGACCATAGACTGTGTGACCTCTGACCGTTAGTGTTGACCATAGACTCTGACCTCTGACCGTTAGTGTTGACCATAGACTGTGTGACCTCTGACCGTTAGTGTTGACCATAGAGTGTGTGACCTCTGACCGTTAGTGTTGACCATAGACTCTGACCTCTGACCGTTAGTGTTGACCATAGACTGTGTGACCTCTGACCGTTAGTGTTGACCATAGACTCTGACCTCTGACCGTTACTGTTGACCATAGACTGTGTGACCTCTGACCGTTAGTGTTGACCATAGACTCTGACCTCTGACCGTTACTGTTGACCATAGACTGTGTGACCTCTGACCGTTACTGTTGACCATAGAGTGTGTGACCTCTGACCTCTGACCGTTAGTGTTGACCATAGAGTGTGTGACCTCTGACCTCTGACCGTTAGTGTTGACCATAGAGTGTGTGACCTCTGACCGTTAGTGTTGACCATAGACTCTGACCTCTGACCGTTAGTGTTGACCATAGACTGTGTGACCTCTGACCGTTAGTGTTGACCATAGAGTGTGTGACCTCTGACCGTTAGTGTTGACCATAGACTCTGACCTCTGACCGTTAGTGTTGACCATAGACTGTGTGACCTCTGACCGTTAGTGTTGACCATAGACTCTGACCTCTGACCGTTACTGTTGACCATAGACTGTGTGACCTCTGACCGTTAGTGTTGACCATAGACTCTGACCTCTGACCGTTACTGTTGACCATAGACTGTGTGACCTCTGACCGTTACTGTTGACCATAGAGTGTGTGACCTCTGACCTCTGACCGTTAGTGTTGACCATAGAGTGTGTGACCTCTGACCTCTGACCGTTAGTGTTGACCATAGAGTGTGTGACCTCTGACCGTTAGTGTTGACCATAGACTGTAAATATCAGACCTATCTCTGCCATTGAAACTACTGTGCCTCCACTTTTGCCTTCTGTGGCTTTTTCAAAATGGCCGTGGGGAAAATGTGGAAAAAAAGCATTTGTGCGTTAGCTGCACTAGCGTGATTTATTTAACGAGTGCATTCAAAAGTCCACAGCGACTAAACTCGACTGGTCCAAAAATATATACTCCCCTCAGAGAGCATCTGGAACCAAGAGGACCAAGAACCACTTTTGGACCAATAAGAACCACTTTTGGACCAATAAGAACCACTTTTGGACCAATAAGAACCACTTTTGGACCCAGAGGCACATAAAGGCCAGATCCTGACTTACAAAGCCATCGTACAGACAGATGAGCTCCTCCAGAGGAACCACCTGAATCTCTGACCACTGTTTACTAAAGACATGAGTCACAGACAACGTTGATGATGTGTTTGTGTGTTCTTAGGGTCGTGTTGTGATGCCGATCGGAGGGCTTATGTGATCGGGGGCTGGGCCTGGGCCTGGTGGTGCGTCTCAGACAGCCAAAGGTGAGCCGTGGTTTTTCATAACAGTGAAGGTCTGAGAGACCCTGTGAGTGTGGGTCTGAGAGAGCAGGCTGTGAGTGTGGGTCTGAGAGACCCTGTGAGTGTGGGTCTGAGAGAGCAGGCTGTGAGTGTGGGTCTGAGAGAGCAGGCTGTGAGTGTGGGTCTGAGAGAGCAGGCTGTGAGTGAGGGTCTGAGAGAGCAGGCTGTGAGTGTGGGTCTGAGAGAGCAGGCCCTGTGAGTGTGGGTCTGAGAGAGCAGGCTGTGAGTGTGGGTCTGAGAGAGCAGGCTGTGAGTGTGGGTCTGAGAGAGCAGGCCCTGGGAGTGTGGGTCTAAGAGAGCAGGCTGTGAGTGAGGGTCTGAGAGAGCAGGCCCTGGGAGTGTGGGTCTAAGAGAGCAGGCTGTGAGTGTGGGTCTGAGAGAGCAGGCCCTGGGAGTGTGGGTCTAAGAGAGCAGGCTGTGAGTGTGGGTCTGAGAGAGCAGGCTGTGAGTGAGGGTCTGAGAGAGCAGGCTGTGAGTGAGGGTCTGAGAGAGCAGGCCCTGGGAGTGTGGGTCTAAGAGAGCAGGCTGTGAGTGTGGGTCTGAGAGAGCAGGCCCTGGGAGTGTGGGTCTAAGAGAGCAGGCTGTGAGTGTGGGTCTGAGAGAGCAGGCTGTGAGTGAGGGTCTGAGAGAGCAGGCTGTGAGTGTGGGTCTGAGAGAGCAGGCTGTGAGTGTGGGTCTGAGAGAGCAGGCCCTGTGAGTGTGGGTCTAAGAGAGCAGGCTGTGAGTGTGGGTCTGAGAGAGCAGGCTGTGAGTGTGGGTCTGAGAGAGCAGGCCCTGGGAGTGTGGGTCTGAGAGAGCAGGCCCTGTGAGTGTGGGTCTGAGAGAGCAGGCTGTGAGTGTGGGTCTGAGAGAGCAGGCTGTGAGTGAGGGTCTGAGAGAGCAGGCCCTGTGAGTGTGGGTCTAAGAGAGCAGGCTGTGAGTGTGGGTCTGAGAGAGCAGGCCCTGTGAGTGTGGGTCTAAGAGAGCAGGCTGTGAGTGAGGGTCTGAGAGAGCAGGCTGTGAGTGTGGGTCTGAGAGAGCAGGCCCTGTGAGTGAGGGTCTGAGAGAGCAGGCTGTGAGTGAGGGTCTGAGAGAGCAGGCTGTGAGTGTGGGTCTGAGAGAGCAGGCCCTGTGAGTGAGGGTCTGAGAGAGCAGGCTGTGAGTGTGGGTCTGAGAGAGCAGGCTGTGAGTGAGGGTCTGAGAGAGCAGGCCCTGTGAGTGTGGGTCTGAGAGAGCAGGCCCTGTGAGTGTGGGTCTAAGAGAGCAGGCTGTGAGTGTGGGTCTGAGAGAGCAGGCCCTGTGAGTGTGGGTCTGAGAGAGCAGGCTGTGAGTGTGGGTCTGAGAGAGCAGGCCCTGTGAGTGTGGGTCTGAGAGAGCAGGCCCTGTGAGTGAGGGTCTGAGAGAGCAGGCTGTGAGTGAGGGTCTGAGAGAGCAGGCTGTGAGTGTGGGTCTGAGAGAGCAGGCCCTGTGAGTGAGGGTCTGAGAGAGCAGGCTGTGAGTGTGGGTCTGAGAGAGCAGGCTGTGAGTGAGGGTCTGAGAGAGCAGGCCCTGTGAGTGTGGGTCTGAGAGAGCAGGCCCTGTGAGTGTGGGTCTAAGAGAGCAGGCTGTGAGTGTGGGTCTGAGAGAGCAGGCTGTGAGTGTGGGTCTGAGAGAGCAGGCTGTGAGTGTGGGTCTGAGAGAGCAGGCCCTGTGAGTGTGGGTCTGAGAGAGCAGGCCCTGTGAGTGTGGGTCTGAGAGAGCAGGCCCTGTGAGTGTGGGTCTGAGAGAGCAGGCTGTGAGTGTGGGTCTGAGAGAGCAGGCCCTGTGAGTGTGGGTCTGAGAGAGCAGGCTGTGAGTGTGGGTCTGAGAGAGCAGGCCCTGTGAGTGTGGGTCTGAGAGAGCAGGCCCTGTGAGTGTGGGTCTGAGAGAGCAGGCCCTGTGAGTGTGGGTCTGAGAGAGCAGGCCCTGTGAGTGAGGGTCTGAGAGAGCAGGCTGTGAGTGAGGGTCTGTTTTGTTGCTGTAGGCTCTCGTTGGAGATTATGACTCTGCAGCCGCGCTGTGAGAAGGTGGAGACGTCAGAGGGCGTGGCCATCACTGTCACCGGGGTTGCCCAGGTAACCGCTGCCTCCTTCTTTGGGCCATGAGGACATGATGTGAAACTTTAAAACTAAAACTGTCATCAGAACAATCGGACTTTTACATGTGGAGCAACTCTCGCTCAATAACCGCTTGTGTCGCACTCACCATTTGGGTTTAAAAGTCCATGTTTTAGCTTCAGTCATGTTTTTATCGTCTTATTGTCTCTTCAGTACAGATAACACTGACCAATGTTGCTTTAGCAGTGAGTAGCACAAGAGGGGACGGACCAGTGGCCCGGACCAGCGGCTCAGTGGCCCGGCTCAGTGGCCCGGCTCAGTGGCCCGGCTCAGTGGCCCGGCTCAGTGGCCCGGCCCAGTGGCCCGGCTCAGTGGCCCGGCTCAGTGGCCCGGCTCAGAAGGCTTCTTGCCAGTGGGGGTGAACAGGAAACAGATTTATCCAATGAACTAATATGGCGTCTTTTCAGGACGGTCCAAACGCTACGTTCCAGATTCTGTCAATGTTGAGTGTTTCTTTTGGACCAGTCTAGTTTAGCCGCTGTGGACTTTTGGGGCGGCACGGTGGCTGAGTGGATAACACTCTCGCTTCTCAGCAAGAAGGTCCTGGGTTTGAATCCCAGTTGGAACAGGACCTTTCTGAGTGGAGTTTGCATGTTCTCCCCGTGTCTGCGTAGGTTTCCTCCGGGTGCTCCGGTTTCCCCTACCACTAAAAACATGCACAATAGGTCTGAATGTAAATGAGAGAGTGAATGGATGGTGTTGGGTCAGAGGCTTTGATGGTCCAGTGTGTTCTGGACTCGCTTCTGTCATCACCGTGTGTGGAAGGATTGGAACAATATCTGACTCTGTACCTTTGGGTCTGTACCTTTGGGTCTGTACCTTGGTCTGTAACATGTGCTATATAAATAAACATTACTTACTTTTGAATAAATGCGTTAAATGAATGTCACTATGTTCATATTTACAGTCTATGGCAGACCGTCGCTCCTGATTGGCTTATGCTAACTCTGTTGTTGCTAACTTGCTACAAACAACATTTGCGTACTTCTCCATATTCCCGTCACTCAGCCTCCTGGCGTTAGCTCTAATCTGACTCCTCCACAAAAGGATCCTCCAAAGACCAAAAACAAACACACAAACTTTGCAGTAGTGTGTATGTATATTATGTCCTGTGGTTTGGAAGTCACATGACACGCTGCGTGTGATTGACAGGTGAAGGTGATGACGGACAGCAGTCTTCTGGCTGTGGCCTGTGAACAGTTCTTGGGGAAATCTGTGATGGAAATAAGATCACTCCTTCTGCAGACACTGGAGGGACACCTGAGGTCTATACTGGGTATGTCCTCACACACACACTAAACAAACACACACACATAAACACACACTTATTTATTCATTAGTGTATTTGAATAGGGACAATACCCATTAATCAACACTGCTGTAAACGTGTGTGACGGTGAACCCGTCCCTGAGCACGCTGTCCCACTGTTGCCACGGTGGCTGCACGCCACGGCCAAACCCATTCATTGACTACTGGCAGTAAGGACTGTGTTTGTGACATGTAGCTATGGTAACGTGTCTTCAGGTCACACTTGGGGCAGTTGCATCTGTTACACGTGTCATTCACTCGCGTGTGCTGGCGTGGTCGTGGCGTCTCCGTGGTGCGTGTCCCAGACACAAGGAGCCCTAGGATTAAATGCACCTGTGTGGGTCATGTGACCACAGCTCATTTGCATGGACATTTGGACTCTTCGTAGTGTGTAGCTCAATGTATTTCATGATAAATGTGTCAATGTGGAACAGTATTATGAAATCATGAACCTAGGGTCATGACCCTAACCCTAACCCTAAATACTCTCTACTCTGTAGATATGATGTAACATTAGGATAATAGGGCACTGTCCGGTTTCCGAAATGTGCTAAAAATAGCTCAGATGACTGCGCATGCGCGCATGTTTCGGACAAACATTGTGTACGACTCGTTGAGTTCTACTGTGTTCTCCTCATAAGCGTGTGTATTTATTTGGGCTAAATCATTGAATCATGGTGACAACAAAACACTGCAGTTATGGTGCTTGTCGGAGCGATTTCAGATACTCTGAAAAGGACTATATGAAAGTAACATTCAACCCGTTCGTTAAACCACAACATCGAACCAGACCAGGACCAGACCAGGACCAGATCAGACCAGGTGGGTGCTTGTGGTCGGCAGAATTTCTCTCATGAAAAGGTTAAAAAGGGCACATGTTTTTTCAAAACACTTCGCTGGACCAACTGTGGAGCATCCAGATCCAGTCCTAGCTACGTTTAGCTGGGACTGGATCTGGACCGCTGTATCAGGTCCGTCTGAGCTCTTCTGAATGTAGTTAGCCCCATCAATCCATATTAGTATTGTTTGTCCTAATCCAGAATGTATACAATTCTCACACCTGAAGAAAGATGAGAGGGATTTTTTTCAACTTTGTGTCTGCTTATTATACGGCTTTGTACCAATTGAACACACAAAATAAACGTCATTCACTACTCATGCCGAAAGGTTTATTTAATGAGTGCAAAGAAAATAGTTCCCAAAGGTTTTCCCGTGGCAGGCGAGTTACAGTGAGGATAGTTAACCTAAAAGCGATCGCTTTAGTCGCATTAAAAAAGTATTTTTGTCATGAAAACCTGAACAGTTAATTCTGAAAACCTCCGTGCACTTGTGTTATGAATGTGTATAATGTATTCTCCCATTAATATTTAAATGTGTTGATTGATTGTCATTTGCGTTTACTGAGTGTGGCTAGCTCTGATAGTTTCTCTCAGAGACAGTGGCGTAACCCGTTGTGATCATGGATTTATTATAATATCAGCTGACTGTAGCTAACTAATGATCAAACTAATTACAAAGTGGATAGTGCAAAAACAACTTGATAAATGGAAGTTAATCACAGCAAAATAAACAAAGAAGGCGCTAGCATTGCAATTTAAATGGCTAGATAATGTTAGCATAATCCTCACCATTACCTTTTTATCAATTCAAACCGTCTACCAGTTACTGGAAGACCACGACATTCAAGCCAACGTTATAATTGGTCTACACTATGATCCCTGATGGTTTGATGGTGGAATTTTGCCCCTGGTATATCATTTTCGTCTAAAGTGACAAGTGGTATTTGATTCATTTCGGCAGTGTTTGTCCGAAACATGTGGGCGGGAGTTGACAGGCGGCGGGGGCGTGTCTTAGTGACGTCATTTAGATAGTTCGCTATTGATTTGTAATGTGGGAGGGGCCAGCAGGGTACAAAAGGTGTGCTTGTCTGCCCCATGGCAGTCGTGACTCGGATACAGAGAAGGTAACATGGACTGTTAAAGTATAGGGAAAAGAGACTTATTGCAGAAGTCGTGTATATTTATATTTGTAAATATCCTTTTCACTGTGCTCTGTAAATACGTGTTTTGTCATTTCCCACTGTTTTTTCTACTGAGAGTTTTGAATGAAAAACTTCTGAAAACGCCCTTTCCGACCCAGCCATGTGTTCTGTAAAAAGAACCCTCACAATGTGTCAGTATTAGCTAACATGCTAACAGCTAGTTTCCAACAGTAGTCCCTGGGCAAGGTGTAAAAGGCCATCAAAGTGCACTGCAAACATTTCAATATAAGAGTAACTAGTTAAGCATATAAAAGCAGCATCATGAGTGGTTACAATCACAGGTTTTTAACATGTTTCAAAGAGTGTGGTGCTCTTTTGTTATATCTTTTAGGCTAAAATATATAACATCTTTCTTCTCTGGACTGGGATTGTGTTCCAGAACTGAACGGCGCGCACTGAGGAAGCTGATTGGCTAAGGAACTTTTTCTCAGTGGGACGACAAGATTATTAGAGGCAGCAGATCTGGTGTTTCTGCTGCTCTGCTTAAAAAGACAGAGAGTGGGGCCAGACCACTTCAGATTTAAAAAAACAGAAGACCATCTTGAAGTCTTACCAAGTTTTCCCAGCTGAGCATCTTATATTTGGCCAAGATGCTGCAGTGGTGGTGCCGGAAAGGACTATCCAGGACTTTTAATGCCTGTAGACAGACTGGGCGTCAGGGCTTGCATCCCTGTGACCTGCTGCTGACACAGAAGGTTAGACGCAGCATTATCATCGAATGGAAAAAGAAAACGGCAGAACCCTGGTTTAAGGAATTTAATATTTGCTAAATTTATCTTAACCTTTTTCTTGAAGGTAAAATTGGAGTCTATGACAACACCCATTTATGTGTATTGTGCCACTACATTTATTGTGTTACCAGCAGCACACACCCTAACCCTAACCCATGCATTCTGTTTTCAAACTCAAGAGCAGGCACGACTTAAAGTGAAAGTAAGTTAGTTAGACTAAGACTAAGTAAGTTAGACTTAGTTCTGAAATGTGGATCATGGTTTCAGTCCATTTTTGTGCCGCTTTCTCTCTTCTTTTAGAGAGCAAACTGGTTCAGATGTATTTAGCGACACCACACTTAGAGTCTGTGGGCGGGTTGTAAGATACACATTTGTATTGGTTCTTCTATTAGACATCTATATTTTCATCTTATTGTCACGAGTTTTAGCCGTTTCCTTTCCCTTCACAGATTTTGTTTATGAAAAGGTTTGCTTTTGCAGGCCTCAATTCCTTTACTCGTAAACCTGAGCTTGTCACGCATCTGTTTAGATTTTAGGGCCATATCTCGTTCTTTCATTAAAGCTGCATTACTTGACTTTATGTTTGTATTCATGAGTTAAATCCAGTCCATATCCTGCAGTGCTTTGGGATAAACGTCCTTTTGAAGAAAAAGTAGCTCAGATTTGTGTTGGTGTGTCGAGTTTTTGTGAAACAAGGAAGAGAATGTGTTTGGGGTCCAGATTGTGACCAATCACAGCGGACCACTGGCCCCCACTTTCTTGAGAAAAGCCACAGGTCTGTGGTTAGCACAGACGGCTGAGGTAAACAAGCGGCGGAGGCTAACCTGAAACTTCTGTTTCATTCACACACACACACACACACACACACACAATGGTTCCTTCCTCTGCAGGCACTCTGACCGTGGAGCAGGTGTACCAGGACAGGCACAAGTTTGCTCAGCTGGTGCGGGAGGTGGCCTCTCCGGACGTGGGCAGGATGGGCATCGAGATCATGAGCTTCGTCATCAAGGTACGGACTAAAAGA